CAAATTGTGACCTTCCTGTGTTAAACACAAGGTCTTTACCTTGTTTGTTGTGGTCCTATTTTGTTTATCTTTGGCTGAACTTTTTTGTAAGAACAAAATACACAGTAGCTTTCAGGTGATTACATTAAAAAAAAAAAAAAAGGACAAAAACCACAGAGGTTAACTTTACATTGTATAAGCAGCAGATTAAATAATTCACCAATAGTTTTCCCTCCTTTCATGCATACTCCACGGTATTTTAAAGCCTGTCGTTTTAAGAGAAGGACCAAGAAGGCCAATGCTTTGCCAACAGTAGCTCCCTCCTGTACCTTGCCTTCCTCTTCTGCTTTGGGCAGTGGACCTGAACGAGGAGAAAGTAAAAAGGCATCAACAGTGGCATGTTTTTCTAAGTCTCCCTGACCTTGATTCCTGGTCTGTCTGGCAGCTTGTTCAGATGCTTGTCTAATGATTTTGTGTTGTTTCTTGAGGCTGAGAGACTTCCTTTGCCATCTTGTGAAAGCTGCTTACATCCCAATCTTGCTCTGGGAGGACTTGTCTTGCTTCAGCAAGATTTTTATTTCTCAGAGCCTCCTGTCTCCTGCGGAGGTTTTGAAACAGGGCATAGTTCTTACTGGATTGTTGGATTTCAACAAATTATCGTCCTTCATGTTGCACATCATCATTCCCAGACTAACTTTTGTGGGGGCTTCACCCATTCTAATGTATTTATGTGTGCACGCTTGCCAAGAGAATTTTAGGACTGAAACAGAACTTTAATTGGAAAATTGAGCTTCTGTGATGTAGAAATGCAAATAGTTCAGAAGAATTGGAAGAGTTGATAACGTCTTAATGGGAACGAGTCTGTCGACACAGAGAGAACATCTAAGCTGAGGTGAGGCGGGTCGGTATTTGCTGTAAGTTTCAGATCCACTTTGTATCTATAGCTGCACAAGCAGAGAATTCCAGTGTAATAGGATAATACAATGGGATACCACAGAAACCCCCATGGTTAAAGTTTTAGGAATAACACAGTGCAAGCACTCTTTGAGAGAGAAGAGGTAATTGTCGGAAAGTGAGTATATTCTTCGAGGTTTGCTGGCTGGATAATGAGTGCTGTCCTGGGGCAGATACTTACCTGTGAAATGCTCCCTGACTGCAGCTTTTTTATCAAGTTAAATAAGCTTCCTAATGGCCTGTTCTTGTGAGTTTTCTTCTCTACAAATAATAGTAAAGTTACCAAAGATCTAACAGTTAACACTACTGTCAGTGCTGTAGTTGGTTTTCAGCAGCCTTTAGTCTGGTGCTTTAGTATGGGACCAGTTTTGTCCTGCCAGCACTTTTTTGGTACCGGGTATATTGCCTGTCTGTAAGTTACTCTGGTGTGTTTTTAAGCACCTGTGGCAAATGTGTCAGCATTTGCTAATTTTGGTTGTAAAAATGTCGCTTCGGTTACACCACGGTACAACCAATCTCCATAACTCATCTTCTACAGCTTTTTGTGAATTCTGATGGAATCAGTGCTGCTGTCTCTTGATCCAAGTTCTGAATGAAACGAGGAAGAATGGATTAAACCTCCTGCTTTCATTTCAATCACAACCTCTAAACACTTTTTCCTTTAATGCAAGTGAAGTAACCATGGAGTCGGTGACCTCTAGGGTCAAGCCACATCCCCATTTACCAGAAAGCTTTTAAAGTTCGTCTCGTCAGCATACAGGCCCGTACTTGGAAGATTTGCAGTAAGAGATCTAGCACTCCCACTTTTCTGAAAGCGTGGTTGTACGTATAACCTTACTTCTGCTGTTCAGGCTTTTACAGAAAATGACATTTTTAATTTCTTTAGAGCTATCACATCAGTTCTATTTTCCAGGCCAACACAGAGCCCCGTACTTCTCCACAGCTCTTGCTGTACGCTTACTTTATGGTACCAGTTAGACACACACATCTTCCATCAGTTTCCCACAGACTTAATTTTCACTTTTTCTTTCAGGAGCGGTTCCCGTGTTTCTGTTTCTCTCTCTGGTCAGGTCTCTACTATCTTTTTTCGCGGTTACCGTAGTGTGACTCAGTCATAAAAGCCGTTGGTGAACACTGCTGGTATCTTGACCAGAGGAGCGGTTTCTTACCAAGTCTGTCAGCTGGTGTTAGTCTGTAATCATTAATTAATAAGCAGAAGTACTGCATTCCGTGAGCTTTGACACACTTGATAGACAGTGATCATTTTTACTAAAAGTAAATCAGAGTTAAATGTATGATACCTAAGCTGACTTGAAAATTTCTTGCTCAATACCATTTGCACAGTCCCTTTAAAGGCAATATATGAAAATCTGTATGTGAAAATCTGAGGGAACACCGTCTCGCCTGTCTCCATCTGTGGAGGATTTCAGACCCTTTCTCAACTCTTCTTGCTGAAGAGCCGTGCTCATGGCTTACATTTGATCCCGTGATTGTTGTCTGCCCAGCTGGTTAGAGACACCATCTGCCAGCGCCTGTCGCACTGCAGCTGAACACGTGGACCGGTGCCAGCAGGGGCAGCTTGGGCCGGATTATTTTACGTGAAGCCCATGAGCCTGTCGGTCAAGCGTCCCTCTTCTGAGTACAGGCTTTGAAAATGGAAGGTGAATCACCGTCACCTATGTCCCGGTTCCCCAGCGACAGTGATTTTCTTTCTTTAAACTTGTAAGAAAGGTTCATTCTCAGGGTTGGGTTTTTTTTGTTAACCACTTACTTCCTATCTTTGAACCCTCCAGACTCTGAGACATTTTCCCAAACTTAGAAGTTCATCCCAAATCTCCCATTTATGACAGTAGCAGAGCGCGAAGCCGACTTTCCCGTTTAACCCGTAATCGCCTGGCGACACTTCACGCAGCGACAGGCCTTTGCTGACGGAGCAATTGCGCAAACCCTGCAGCAAACAGCCAGGACTAGCAGTTTGACAGCTGGCACAAACGGCGTTCACGAAAGGGTGCGGCATGCGGCTCTGTCCCCCTTCCCTTCCCGACGAGTAAAGGAGAAACAGAAGATTGCTCATGAACTACTCCCTTCCCCGTATACACACAACATATGTGAACATTGTGTTACCCATGAAAACTTCCAAGGAGGCATGGGTTCACCACGCCAACAGAGTCTCGTCTCCTCGCCCCTGCCCCGGTCCTCTACGCCCCTCGTCCTTCCCTATCCCTCAGCGCAGCACTAGCACCACCCTGCCATGACCTGTTTAACGTCTCCTTCAGGGAGCGCAGAGAGATGCTGGCCTTAGCCATCCTCCTGGAGAACGCGAAGAGGAGAAAGAAAAGCCGGAGTTGGGCTCGATCCTCCCTCCTGAAGCAGGCAGCAACAACAGGGACAGGGCATCCGACTCCTGCTGGAAGCTGTTTGTGCCGAGGCTTTTTATAGACTGTATATCCAAATATAGGTCATAGATGCACAGACACACACTTGTGAACAGATCACCTACGGAACTACACGTCTGGACCGCTTCCTCTGACCCACTGATCGTACACAGTCTGTGGCTCCATACACAAAATTAATTTAAAGGTGACATGGAAGGGGGTACCTACACTATTCTGCTTTTTTGGGGGGGGGGCTTCATTTTGGCATTGTGCTCACCAGTTCATGTCTTGGGCCAAAGTCTCCTGCTGGCAAAGGCTGTACAAGCAGCTTGCTGCCTTTTTTTTTTTTTTTAAAGGTCTGATGGTAAAATCAGATTGGGATGAGAATGATGTGTATTTGTTTGCAGGGAGCCGATTTGAGGATAAGGGATAGCAAAACTGCGATGGTTGGAATCTCTTCCATAAAGGATGGACAGCCAGCACAACTGGCTGATGAGTTTCAGGAGCTGGTTATGCAAAAAGAGAGCTGGAAATTTTTCCATCAAAAAGAAAACAGATCATGTGCATCTGGTAACAGCACAGCTGGTGAAACAAGACAGCACAAACCCCACATCACTGAAGCAGGTCTTCAGCCAGCACCAGGCACTCAGTTTTGTGAAAAGGACAGCCTGAGAAAAAAAAAACTTTTTTTAAAACTTTTAATTATTTGCTCATTCCACAGGAAATCCAGCATGAATTGCACATGTCAAAAGTGGCAGCATTCCCCCATAGTTACATTCTCCCCACCTTCAACTTGCAAATTGAGAGACGTTTCTAGCAAGCCAAGTTCTGCTCGCTGTGTTTGTAAAGCTTTGGGGAGAGACTGGAAGTAGCTGGGTAAAGAGGAGGCGTGCCTTTGGCCCTTCATGTTCCCGCTGTGATGGGGTACACAATACACTGCTTGACACAATTTTGTGTCAGTTTGGAAATTAGAGTGAGTATAAAGCACAAGGGAGCAGTGAGAGAGAAAGCATTTATTAAGACAAGTGTAACCGTTATTTTTCCCTGGGATAAACAACTAAATGCATAAGACAGCTGACCCATTAAACAGATGTTAACATTTTCTCCGGCTCCTTCGTTTACTGCAGTGTGAAAAAATCCAATTGGCAATGACAGTTAAACTAATTTGATTACTCATTAGTTGATGCTTCTCTAGTCTTATATGCAGCTGCTGACAAACTAATGAAAAATATATTTCCACTACAGCCAATTTAGGCTAACTGCAACACAGTATTATGGGGAGAGTAACATAAAGCACTGCCATAGTTCAAAATGCAAGGAGCTCAGCCAATGATATCTCTTGTTACTGCTCAGCATCCTGATTTAGCATTGTGGGTGTCCCCGTTAGCCTGAATTTCTTCCTCCAACCTTAATTATGTCAGCTTAGTCATGAACTAATATTTACCCCTAAATATATTGAAATCCATTTCACTTAAATGCAACAAGCAAACTGCCAACCCTGCAAGAAACGGCTGCAGCAAATACCAACAGCCGCTGAAAACCATAATGTGAGGCCAGTTACATCATGAATACTTGCAGCAAATCCCCTCCCAAGGGATGCAGCAAGTTCCACTGTTCCGGATGTAACTGGGCTTATTTCAAACGCTCTGAGAAGTGGTTTTCCCCCATAAATTTCTTTAAACATCTCAATGTCTAAGATTCTGGCAGTGGATACACAGATACAGAACTACTCTGATCAGCAACTAATACTCTCTTGGAGCCTTTGATCTCCGCACACGATATCCAGTTCACCTTTTCTCTGTGCTCAATGGTTAGCTTTGGTAAAACTCTAGCATGTTCATTTGAAGCCCCTTTGTTGAGCTTCCCATCTTTTCTGCTGGAAGCAGGTCCTTGCGCCTTCCTTCTCTGCAGAGATTTTGCTGGACTTTTCTGCTGCTTTCCGACGTCACTGCTGACATCCCAGAGCAAGACTTTCCCGTCATTTCCTCCAGTCAACAACCAGTATGCTTCTGGCATAAAGAGGACCTGCGATACTCCCAAGCTGTGACCTTGAAACTCCAGCTCACGTTCGAACTTGACACCAGTGACTCTGAATATTCTGACTTTACCGTCTTGAGCTCCACAGCCGAAGATGTTGCCGCACGATGCGACAGACAGGGAATGTGCAAGCGGTGGGTTAAAGAACTGGCCAGCTGACTGTGGACTCTCTTCCTCCATTTCGCACTCCTGCAGGTTTGTGGTCCACAAGGGGCGGGCTTTCTGCAGGTTCCACAGCATAACCTTGGGGAAAAAAGTATGAATCAATGATTTGTCTGTTTTAGGTAAAATCAGATCTTTCACTAACAGTAAAAAAAAGAACCAAAACACACCCACACTTCTTGCTCCAGCAGAGCAAAGGCTGTGCATGAGTGCAAGAGAAGCAAGACGTGCTGTGAGGAATGGTGGAACTTCACCTGATAAATACGGCAAATCTTAATGGCACACTTTCCAAACCCTCATATTGCCCTACTCAGCAGTCAATGCCTCAGACCTTTAGACCACAAAATGGATGAAAAAGCTGTTCTAAATGCTTTTACATTCATCTCAGCAGTAGTAATCATGATATACTGCACATTAATTATTTAAAAGGAGGGACACGGAAACGCTAGCAGTAAATGGAGATCACCATCATCCTGAATTTTATTTCTCTCTGCTACATACTTGTCCTAAAATAATCACTTCCATGAACGTGTTTGAAAAATGGAACATCAACAGGCAAACAGAAGCTCTCATTTTTAAACAGAGATACATGTATTTTTTTTAATATATATCCAATGAGTAGATCTGGTTTGTGCTATTACCGTATTGAGGTATGGTGTGCTTGTCCTGATGAGATGGCGGGGAGGTTGTGCTTTTATACTTGCTTTTAAAATGCCTCCAAGCCCCTCATGAAGCAATAACTGCACCTTCTAATGAATCCTGCATCTCTCATACAGCCATGCAAGTACTATAGATTTGTACTGCGCCAGTTAAAAATAATTCTTTCAATACTTCTGTAGGATCTAGATTGGTGATGAGCATTTTCCAAGGCCAATAAGATATGAAAGCACAAGTCAGTCTAATGCAGTAATGGTATGCTGTTTGCTTTTTTTAACCAAAGCTTTGTTATTAATAAAAATATTCCTTCACTAGTATTCTCCAGTGCAAAGTGCAGGAGTCTTTAAATCTGGCCCACAAAAAGAGTTGCCACACTGGCTCTGCGTTTCTGGAATCCAAATCAGACTAAGACATCCAAAATATGTCATTTTCCTGTCACTTTTCTGTTTTAGCAACTGTTGCTGCTGCTACATTAAAACCACTTTGCTACCGATGAAAGGGAAAACTTTCCATGATGACTGTGCAGAGCAGAGGAAATCAGAGAGGCTGAGTCCTAATGCTTAAAGCAAATACTCCCATTTTCATCACAGACAGCATTGCAACAGCTTTATGAATTCATCATGTGCTAACAAGTTTTCTGCAAACTAAGTATTTTCTGTCCTTGTGGCATTTTTCCTGCTTCCACAGAACTTCTGAAAAAACTCCAGCAACCTAAATTTCAGTTCTCATCAGCTACGGCTTCACTGAGTGTTTGACACGTGAGCTGCTCGTAGAGCTCGTAACTTCTCCAAAGACATGCTGCAGCACAGCAGTTCACAGTATTGCTGCTCAGCTGCTCTTTGTGAAATGATGTATCTTAAAGCCAGCCTCGATGCGGAAAAATGCTCTTTTCATTGCACAAAAACACACTAATGAATTCCTACTATTTTGGGATACTGACTTTCACCTAAAAACCAATTTGCCAAGGTACGGTAAACCACACTAAAACTAAAAAGTCACAAAAATAACCAGTTCACTCACACGGAAGTGGTATATAAATGTTTACAATTCTGAGAAAAAGTTTCCAGCCATAGGCTTGTGAATCTGCATTTTAGGGACCTGAATTAAGCCAGCCGGCTAAGGTGCTGAGCATTTACTCCTCTTAGACTGACACTTCGGTACCTCTGAAAATAAGTTTCTCACAGTACTTCATTTAAAACCCTACATCCATCTTTTAGTCAACCTAAGGAGGAAAAAAAAAAGAAGTTGGAATATTTCTGATAATTTGGCAAAGTCTAAACCTGGCAGACTTCCATCAATCAGCCTATTTGGATATATATACTTACTGAATGTCTATGATCTATGGCTTTAATATGGAAAAATACCGCTTATACTAAATATCAGCATGTAAAAAATACCGCTTATACTGAATATCAGCATCTATTTGTTCTAATGGGCGTTAGATGCGCTTCGGTTTTAAGAACATAAGCTGAAACTGCTCAATGCTGTCAAAGAAAACTTCACCCTAGTAGCACTAGAACCACAGAAATCTTTGTAGAAGTGACAGTTTTAATCCCAGGCTAGACCACCAATGTGGTCAGATCACAACCACCGGAAAGAAATTACTGAAAAACAGCTGTTCTGGGTGGCCAACTTTGGCAACGTAACTCAAGACTCCATTAACTCCCAGCAAGTTTTTTCTCAGAACACTTCCACAAGTGGTGTGCAAAGGACAAAGTTTCCTCTTGATGAGGATACAGAAGTGTAAAAGGCAAAAAAACATTTAATGTCGTGGTTAAACCACGACAGCTTCCAAGAGGTTAATCAGAACAAAGGATAAATTATAAAAATTACTTGTCCTTACAGTGATAGATACCACTTGGAAAGATATTTATGAACCTGCAGTAAAGTATTCTTGCTAGCATCCTCTCTGCTTCAGGCATTTTGCCTTTTCCTAACTACCACCTGCGTGTCATCTGCAGCCATAACTGATAGCTAGGGACAACTTCTGGTTTTGCTCGGCCCAACAGGGAGCTACTGTGGCATGAGTGTGCTTTGCACCATATTCTGTTTCCCCCCCTACCCTGCTCGTTTTTAGATTGTAAATATTAAGGAAAATAAAAACGAGAGAAACTGCTGTGTAGAAAATGGCACAAACAGCCTCGATGCTAAGTTTCTCTGACAAAACTACTTTAGGATAGTTAAGGAGCATTCTGGTGACTGCGGGCTGTACACCCTCACTCTTGGTGAAAGTCTGTTGATGCCTCACTGCACGGGTGGGTAGTTACTGTTTCACTTCTCTAATAACCATCTACTTGTATGCAAATCACCTGCATGTCCAGTCCGCAGGAAAGAAGGCTTTGAGGCCTCTGAGGACGAAAGACAACAGAGGAGCAGATGTTTGAGTGTCTCAAGGACCGGCTGACTTTCTTGTTTTCCAAGTCCATAATCTTTATTGCCCCCGAGTCATCTGCCGCAGCCAAAAAATTGTCGGTCTCGTTCACCGAGAGGCAGTTGATCTCCTCCTCATTCACATGGAAGCGTTCAACGGGCTCCTTGAGGGACCGGACATCCAGCAAACTGATAGCTTCTCCATGGGAAGTGTAGAGCCTGGTGGGGCAGCGGGGAGAGAACACCACGGAGGTCACGTCGTCTGCCTTCGGGAGCTGGAGCTGTCCTGCCGGAGCGCCTCCCCCATCCCAGAGTGTGAGCTCGCCTCTCTCTGCACCCGAAGCCACCAGCCCTTCCGTGTTTATGTTCAAGCACAATATAGAGGACGAATGTCCACCAGTCCATTTGACTGCCATGTTTCAGGGACACCTCTGAAACAAACAAAAAAAACAACCCTGAATTGAGCTGGTGTTGGTCTTACTACAGCAGAAAGCTTATGGAAGCCACAAGATCATCCTGTTGACTGTGATGCAAACTTCAGGAAACCCTAGTGTTCAATTAAAACAGGCACCTCTACATATCAGTACCCAAATGAAGCTTTGGCTCAAATAGCATCAACATCAGCCACAACAGCGAAGAACGGCAGCAGTGCTGGCACCTGTACCTGTGCCATACATGGAGTAGATCTGCTGCTCTGACGTGGCTGCCTAGGTGACAGCTGTTTCCTTGGTGCATAAGGACATAGCACACCTGACAAAAGAGAGGCACGGTTCCTAATGGGATGTACTGGAAAGGAGCAAGGGGAAGACAGCAAACGGGTAAAGTCTGTCTGCAGAGAGGTGACGTTGTTCTAGTCTGGGTGAAGGCACATGCGGATGCCTGTCTTTCATCCAGCTGCCGAGGTTAAGCAGTCTTGCAATACCTGGAGCAAGAAACTTGTGCTGGTGAGAGTGGGATAAACCGATTAATGCCAAAAGGGACTGCCTTAATTACAGTTTAAAAGCATACATGTGTGTGAATAAATCTTAAACTATTGTGCCTGTGTACTTTGTATTCCCAAAGTGAAGGTAATTTTCTTGTGACTGGTAATAGCACAAACAGATAAACAATGGCATCTTTTTAAAAATTTCATTACCAGCTTAAGGTGGGTAGTTACAAGGTTTGCAACACGTTTAATTGGGCCTCAAAGCGTGCCCATCAAGCTTATCATGCTCTGGGCCCTTTCCTTGTCGCAACTTCCCACAGCAGCCCCTGTGACAGGACTGTTTAGGGGACCAAATCAGCAGAAAATTAAGTGGGGGTTAAAAAACGAGCAACACAAAAGCCTAACAAGTTTTGGAGAGACCGGCATGCCATAGGGGAAAAGGAGAGCTAATACCAGGGTTGGGGCGCAGACAGCAACGCCGCGTTTGCGGGACGGAGCTATTGGCTGTCCCAGCAGCAGCTTCAGCGACCACGGCGCTGCCTTAACGTTGATGGTTTTATTGCATTCTTGGGCAATAAAGGGCTTCTTTTTGTTTGTTTGTTTGTTTTTAACCGTGTTATGTTTTGCATGTTATTTTTGTTGAGTCTGGCCTCAAGAGCAGCTAAAACTCATTCAATTCGCCAGGAAAATTTCAGTCTTGTCGATTAAATTACGGAAACTTACGCAATTACGGAAAGCGCCGGATACCTTACCTGCAACCTGGGTCGCACATTCGCGGCCAGCCGCTCGCCCGCACTTCGGGAACTGAG